GTAATATACGTTATTAAAATTATTATCCAATTATTAAATCGAATTTACAATCATTATCGTTTTATGACAAAGTACCAACATTTTTCTCTTCAACTTTGATGGAATTGAAAATCAAAGTATGCAGTTCGGACGATATTCTTTATTTACTCGATGGCCGTTTACCTCAACTTTGTACATTATATGTTAAAGTTGTTTGTGCTCCTGGCGTCGACAGTAGTCAATCAAAAGGTAATTTGTCTTAAAAGACATAACTACGTTTTGTTTAAACAAACATCTCGTTTTTGAAAAAAAAACTTAAATTCATACTAAATTATAATTGTATACTGTTCGTTTTAGGAATCATTGCCTAATATCAGATGCTTTTCCTTGATCTCTAAATTGGAAATATATCTTATAACAAATTAATCGTGTCAGTTCTTCAACGAATGCCAAATTTGGAAAAACTTGCTTTATATATTTGCGTTCATCAAGAAATATTTCTCGATCGAAATTATTTGAAAAAGGATATTGTTAGTCATTTACCCCAACTTCACAATTTTATCTTCAATATACGATCACTGATTTATACTCATCACCAAACTCGTTTACTATCGAATAAAGACATCGAACACACATTGGTAGATCTTGGAGACAATCAAATTATTTGTTATGTTGATTATTTTCCAAAAGATGAAAGTGCTCAGTGTCATTTCTATTCATGTCCATATACGTTGAGATATTATCATAATATAACGAATAGCTTTCAAGGTGGATTATTCAAATGTGTTCGTGAAGTTTCATTATTTGATGAACGTCCATTCGAACATGAATTCTTTATTCGAATTGCTCAATCATTTCTACTCATGAAAAAATTATGTGTGATTAATCGAACCGCATAAAAACAAAAATTAAATAAGAACTATGAATGCTTATCGATCATTGAATATCGTTATTTAACTGAATTAGATTTAACTGATATTAATAATGATTACGTCGAACAATTCCTTGTTGACACCAATGTATGCTTGTCGAGCAATATTCGTCTTTGGACTCGTTATGACTCTTTGAAAAGAGTGATACAAAATTTCACAAGAGACGCAACCCGAGTCAATTGTGATAAAATCAATTGTCTGTAGATTTATGATGAGTTTCAAGTTTCGGAACGTTTTACAACATATTTTCGTCATGTGAACATATCAAGATGGTGAAACTTTGTACAAAATATTAAAAATGATGAATTTTTTGTTTTGAACAATGTATGCAACTATAGTCAAAAGACAGCATAGTTCCTATTTTGATTTTCTCTCGAGGATACTCATGGAGGAAAAGATACTTCTAGCAGAACTAAAAACTTGTACAGCAAAGATCTAAGAAAATCACAGTCAAGTCAACCGTATTGGTTTAAGTTACTCATTGTCGAGCAATCTGAGAAAATCTTATAGTTGTAAAGAAGTTCATTAAAAGCTGGTATGTGAATAATAGGTTGATTCATTGAAAGTGATTGACTTTTTGTTATTTCAACGGATATTAAGTACACAAATATGAAACATGTATAAATGCGAATCATTCAATTAATTATGCTTTGTTAATTAAAAAGAGGAGTTGATGAACGTGATTATTCTGTTATAAGACATTTTTATGTATTAGTCTCAGGAATGTGCTCATCAGTTTATTGATTACGGAAGCGGCCGATGATGACGTCGTTAATCAGTGAATGAAAAGTACACACTTCGAACTCACTGAGGACCGACAGAATATATAGAGGTGTTTAAAAAACAACTTCCACAAAATTAATTTTGTCTTTTTAATGTTTTCTTTACTATGAGAAGCAATTAGAAAAGTCATGTTGTATTGGATACACACTCGATATTATCTCTCTAACGATAGTAACTTGGAATATTTCAGTGCAACTGGATTATTCGCAAGAGGTTAAGCATCATAGAATGCATACAAAAGCGAAACATAATTGGGTTGATGCAAAAATTTTGTAAATTCAACTAATAATTACGTAAATCTATATCGATTAAAGTCATCCTCACTTATGATGATCGGAAGAGAAAACATCAGTCTGTCTTGAATAAAATAGTTTACTAAGAAGTCTCATAACATAGATTTTAAAGGTTTATCGAAAGGACTACATGGATATGAGAGGATTTGTTGAGTAAACAAATGATGATTATTATGGTATTTCAATTAATAAGGGTGTGTGTGTGTGTGTTCTTGTGAGATATCAGAACATTAGCACGCACACATCCACACCCTAATGTAAGAATTAATATGGTACGAATATCTTATTATTTCTTGACACAAAGTTTGATCCTATAAAATGTCTTTTCAATTAATACTCAAAGTCATTCATTTTTTGTGAGTTACTGTTGTTCAAGGACGCTAACAGCTTCATACCATACACAAGTAAATATCGATGTGTATAGTTTATTTGAATTCTATTCTACTTTATCAAACTTCTTTTCTTTGTTTGCCGTCAACGTTCGTTTGCTCTCCGTATTGTATACTGTACTGTTGCTTTGAGCAGTGCTACTGAAGAAAATGTGCTTGATTGATAGAAATCTAAAAAAAAACAAAAAAAAAGAGAGAAAATAAAAATAAGTAAAGCTTTTTTGATGCTGCAGAAGTAACACAAGAATCCCTCAACAAGTAAATAACGTATCTCATATATAAAACAATCACTCAAGTTGAAAGTTATTTTTATCGAAGTTTTTTTCAAAAATTTCATTTTAACTATTCTATCTTGGTAAGTAACTTACAGATATGGTTCCGAAGCAGATCTTAGAGAAGATTAAAAGCCATTAGTATAACAAATGTATGACTGAGGTATTAATTAGAAAGCATCGAGACGAATATGAGATAGATATCCGCCAGAGACTTTAATTTATTCAATCTATTAATGATTAATTTTCAGTCGAAGTATTATCCCAGTCTATTTACTTATATACATCACCCACACTCTTATAGGTTTAATGATTCTTTCATATAGACTTTTGTTCACATTTTATGCTATTAGCTTTTCACGTATCTTCTACTCTATTTTTGATCTTCTCACTATTTTCGATATTGAGATATAACTATCAAAATAGTGTCACTGATTATTTCACAAGATAAGAACTAAAGACGAGGGTGTGGGAGTGGTTGGCTGTGAGTATGAGTGTATGTCTTCCTTACCACACGCACACGCACATCCATATACCCAAACCAAACTTTTAATTGTCTTCTACATCTGATAATTTACTGGTTCCCCGGTTCTTTGAAATATGTTTGGGACCGATTCGGGATCGCTTTTTTTCGAACTTGAGAATCGCAGACCCCTAGTGTGGATGTGGGTGAATGTGTGAGGGCACGTCTGTAGTTTCTCTTCATCAGATTTAGCGCGCACTCAGTCCTCACACAAATTCACTTGCAGTCACGTCCTATGACTCGTATTTTTTGCTTGTAAATCAATGAGTGTATTTAGCTGTGATGAATTTAGTTTACGGTTTGTTTAATGTTCGACAAAATAAGCATTGGTAAGTATCTTCATGAAATCGAATTTGGTCTGGTTAGCACTGATATCCACTTTCCAAGCCTCATGCAAACATCCAAAATCAGCATATTACATGAATTGATGAATAATACTTGTCGGCAGTAATCTTTTATAAAGACACTTAAAATAGTGCAAGTAAGATTTTTTTCAATTAATCATCTAGAATCAGGTAGTTATTTTCAATAATATTCATGAAAGCTTCATAATAGCTATATTCATTAGATTGTCTTAAATTTAAACTATATTGTATGACATTTTTACTAATCCTTATAAGTTCCTAAAAAACATTGAATCAAAAAGATGAAAAATCAAAAGAGTAAAATCATAAAGAATATTTTTACCTGTCTTAGGAACAAATACTTACTTTTTATTTTAACCGCTTACTTTTTTTTGGGTTGTTTCTTTAATCTATCGTTGAATTTTAAAATTATAAAATGTAACAAAGACAATTCACTTGGCTTTAGAAAAAATGTTGTATCCAAAGCAAAGACTTTCAAAACTTGAAATTTCTAATAATTGGATTAAAGCTGACTGTTGATTTATTTTAAAGAAAAAACGACATCACTAAGAGTTTTTCTTTTAAGAAGTTAAATAACTTAAAAGACAATTGTAACAAACGAAAGAATACTTCATATTTAGCTTATTTATCCGACGACTTATCATCGTTAGCACCGATGCTCTAATTTGATTCTCTGCAATGATTCGATAGTTTTCGATCAGTCGAAACTACAACACTAATCAAAAATTTTTTTTTTATTTTGAACTCTCAGTTAAAATCATTGAAATGGTCGAACAAGTATTGATTCTTTGACCTATTCGAAAGTGAGAAACCGAGTTCTTGATTTGAAATTTCGATAGGCGCGATAGGCTCAAATCGACAGATCGAAATGTCTATCGAATGACCACTTGGGTAGTTACTGATTCAAATAAAATGTAAATGTGTGCATCTCTCAGATAACTTTTTTTAGTCATTCATTGAAATAAATTGAAAAAGCTTGTTAGCGCAGCCCCTTTGGGGCTGAAATGTAGAACTCATATATCTTTTTTGGTTTCATTAAACTAATCCCAGAATACCCAATATTTACAATCTCCAAAAAATAACAGTCCTTTTCTAAAAATAATCGATTATTAGAAAAATGCTGTCTTTTTTATCTCTATATTTCAAACAGAAAAATTTTTTTTACGAAGTTGCTATGGTCTGTAATGGGGGCCTGTCTGTAAGGGGATGGAGGGAGCCGCGAAACCTCGAACTTAAAACTTACACTCACTATTTTCTTCGAAAATATACATGAGTTCCACAAAACAGGTGGCATGAGAATTTTATAGTATAGTTATTTTTCTTTTTATTCTTTACACATAGTTTTTGTTTTCTTCAACAAATAAAAAATAGTACAATCAAAAGAAGCAAAACTGTAATCTGCATTCCATTAAGTATTTCTAAGAACCTTGGTGATTTCGAAGAAGATTTAGAGGGATTGAGACTTTACGATAGTGTACCTTGACCATCATTGTCGTCTCCTGATTTCATTGTACAACTACGTTTTTGAACAAATTCAGCGGCTTCTCGGTCAACTTTTGCACGACTTTGAATTAACTAAAAAAAGCAAAGTAAATAAAAAAAAAGAAATTAAAAGATAATCAATAATTTTTACTTGATATATTTTTGGTTGAGCATGTTTATTTTGCTTTCTCAAACGTACTTCTGATACAGGAATATCACGTATTGATGCACGATTTTTTAATGATTCTATACTCATTAATGGTATGAAACATTCCCCAATAAATTCGTCTTTTAACATATCCTTATCCCAAACACTAAGATGTAAAACAGCACCCGGTGTATTTAAAATAGCTGGAGGAAGACTATCCCTTCAACAAAGAATAAAAAATTTTCATTTTGAATGAAAAGTTATTCGACTAAAAAGTAACTCTACAATATGAATAACTCATCGAATTCTGGGTTAAGTGTTCGTTCTATTGTACGTGTTTTATACTTCTTTGGTTTTTTCGGATTAAGTGTCGATGGAAATAATTCGAGAATAACATATGGATCGGATGTACCAATAATATCCATCTTCGGTAAATCTCGACAAGAAATAACTGTATGTAAAACAGAAAAGGTGTTTATTTGTTCGTTTCAAAAATGATATAAACTAACATACTATGAACATAAATAGAAATAAGGTTATGCACGATGTCATATGCAGTACGAAAAATAATTACACTCCTATCTGTCGAATACTCATACTACAAAACAAATAAAGGAAATCTTAACAAAACTTCCAAAGAATATTTACAGGAGAATGCGTTTGAGTTATTTCTTGAAAATAAATTAATTGCAAATGCGTAGTTGGTATTGCATATTGTTCAAGTGTGCGTCGAAATGTTGCAAATTCTTCACATGGTGAACAAGGTACATCTTGTTCTTCACGACATACAAGCTCAAAGTATGTAGTCAAATCATCAAATGATTGTAAAACACGTTCATAAAACTCTGGCGGTTCTTGTGATGGTAAGAAGTCTCTTAAGTATTTCAATACTTCTATACGTATAGCACAAGCAACACGAAAATATTGAGCTGTTTCGACACCTCTACATAGTTTATAAAGAATTTCTTGATCGATATAATGATTCATATCTCTCATAGGCTATTATTTATATTCGAAAAAAAAACAAATATGTGGATATGTTGATTTATTTGTTTATATATTTATTTTCTTACGTCGATTGTTTTGCGTTTTTCATTTTCATAGTATTTGGAAATTTTTCCTTTCAAACATTCATCAAATAATTCAATAAAACGTTCAAATATAAGATTGATAGTATTATTCATTTCGTTTTTTGCTGTAGTTATTAGACGTTCAAGTGTTACTATTGTTTGTTGGAAGTCTTTTGATTCATAATTTTTAATCATTTTATCAATAACAGATGAAAAATGTAATAAATTTGGTAATGATGAAAGAAGTGTTTGTTTAATATATTCAATATCATTAACTAAGATGCAGAACTAAAATGTATAAGAAAAGAAATAAAAACAAAAATAGAATTCATTTTCAATGAACTTTTTTCGAAGCATAAAATGAATGTATTCGATTTAAATCAATAAAATATTTCTTTTCTGATAATATATATGCTGTATGTCTTGCATAACGTTGACATTGTTCACATATTGTATTTGTTAATTTAATTAGTGCTGTATAACGTATATCTATATCAGGATAATTAAACAATTCCCATTCATTACAAAGCTAAATTAATTCGATGAATATAAATAATAACATCATATATGAAATATATACCCTTATACATTGTGCAATAGCTGCTTTAGATGAGTCAGAATATCGGATATTATCTTCGTCATTAAAAATCTTTGAAGAAAATCATATTCGTTTGTTTCTGTTTTCATGTAGATTACATGCTAGTTTGTCTTACCTCATTATTTTCTTCTAATGCTCTTTCCATTACTTGTCTGATATGTGCAACAAAACCTTCTAATGCAAATTTTATTGTAGGTGAAAACCAATTTTGGTAGTTGATTAATTTTAATTTATATGCATTTGTTTGCCAATCTCTATTTTAAGAGAAAATAAAAATAAAAATAATTATGTCAATAAGGAAAAAATAGAGAAAATGTACCTTGCTTCAAGCATATTTTGAAGTAACTCAATCAGTTTTGCTAAGTATGAATATAATTCTAAAAGTACACTTGAACTCTGAATTAAATTTGGATCATATATGGATGATGTTGCTTTCATCATCGGTTTTGCATATTTTTTAAAATAGTCTGTCATATTTGTTAATATACATCTTGTTAGGTCAGCTAACTAATAAATAGAAAGTATAATTTTTCTATGTATAATGTTACAGTACATCTTACACGATCTCCTGCATTATTGGGTTCAAAAAAACACGTTTTTATATAATTAACATCGAAGGTTGCAAAAATTTTCTGATATTCTTGTATAATTGCCATTGATTTAACTAATTTTTTAACGAATTCAAGAAATGCTCGAATAGCATTTAATTGTATATCATTGTTATCTCGAAACACAAATGTATCAATACTAAAAGCATCATTAATATCCGTTTGTAAACGAGTTTTGATTGTTTCTTCAAGAAGCACTTTGATTGTTGATTTATTCGAGTGAGATTTTAATATAAATAAGGTACAAATTGTGCTAAAAGCATTTGAGTACTGAAATAGTTAGTATATTCGATTCATTTTCATATAATTTTAATGTTATCTTTTTCAAGTCTAATTTGACAAATACAAAGAGAGCCGTTCTTATATAAAAACATACTTGGTTTTAGCATGTTCTGTTGACTAACAAATCACATATGAGATGGGTTTTTTTTTGTAAAACCGAAGAAATTAGTCCTTAGTCTGAAAGAAGCTCTTCAGCTAAACTGTTTCATTCGTTTTTCTTTAATAAATAATCGATTTGATCTTATTATTTCGTTGATATTAAATATAAACATACTTGAATATACGTCGAATACTTGATAGATTTTCTGGCGCAGGTAAAAACCATGGTATATCATCAGATACATGCTTTTTATAATGAGCAAAAAATACAGAAAAAATTTCTTCAGATACAGTTCTCTAAAATCAAACACAAAAGTTACTTTTTAAGTAATAATAACAAAAACAAAACATTATATCATTTTTACTTCATAATCAGTAAAATTTAGATCATCAGTATCAATTCTTTGTCGTATTTCTTCCATAAGTATGTTTAAATACTGTTCAATAACACTATGACTTATAAATAATCCATAATCTTCTAAATATCGAAACTCCATGACAACAAGTAGCTGTCTATTGATATACAATGATAACATGATAAGTTCGCTTTTTTTTATTGTTCAATACTTACATAAATGTTTCTGATAGAACTGAAATATTGTATAAAACACGAAATCGTGAGAGAATACTACAAGATAGATCATTTAATGATCCATTCCAATTAATAATTGAATTTTTTGATTGATTGGTTTTCCTCTAGAAAATAAATAGTTTTTTCTAACTATTATTTCTATATACTTTATTGAGTATCTTACTGTTTTTCTTATAGCTTCTAATTGATGTCGTATAACAATACGAGTTAATTTATGATATTCTTCAACTAATGATTGAAAATCTGAATCGATGGCTAATGCTAAATATGAAATGTTTAGACTTAAGTTTGTGTTCAACATATTTTTAACAACTTAAAAATAAATGATAAAAATGTGTTTCATACACACACACATAGACACTTTTATGAAACATAATCTGAAAGGATCGTTAAAATAAAGGAGTAAAATTAGTGATGAAACCAAAGCATAAATGAAAAGTCCGTAGTCTCATCCAAAAACTTTTCAATATTCTCTACAAATGAGAGGGTCTTATACTTAAAAAAAAGTATTTTCCTTTCAACTTCATATCAGTGTTAATTCTTTGTATAACTTTTTCTGACACTATGACTATGTTAAAATTTGGCTGTTACTCTTTCGACAAAACAGGACAGCTTCGCTGGCAAAACAGATCGCCACAATGAAAGGTGTCCGGCATCAATAATACGTGATCACAAATGGTATATTGATAAAATCTTGTCTATGAAATACACTTTTATATTATATGTATGCTAAAATATATTAGATATTCTGAAATAAATCAATACTAAAGTCTTTTTTTCAGAGAAATTATTTGTACAAAAACTTAACATTAGTGATGTGACAGAAATTCTCTATCCAGATTCAAAACTTATATGTGAAAAGTTCTCTTTCTGTTCACAAAAGCATGTCAACATACAGCATCTACGAGAATGGTAAACCTTGCATCCTGATATGATGTTTCAAATAAAAAAAACTAACTATATACAATGAGCTAAGACAGAGAAATTTTTGTTTTTCAAACAAGCTATTTGCGACTCTTAAATTAGTTAATATTTCTCTTAGAAGTCATGGTATATAGTGCTGAAAACTTTATCATAGGTCCTTTAACACGTCTTCAAAATGTTATTTCATTTGAATATTCTTTTGTGCTCAGTAATCAGCTGTAAATGTTAACATTTCTGCATGTGTCTGTGCAAAAAGAACTTGTGGCTCTCGTAATGATTCAAAGTGAAATGGACAGCTAAAATATTTCATTTTGCCTAAGAAGATTAATATATATTTATATATAAATACTTACTAGATGAGTTTATATCAGAAAGAGCTGGCAGTGATGAAGAAAAAGAATTTTTCTGAAAAATTACTGGATGAGCTGTAGTTGATGAATTTGTTTGAGTAAGAGATGATGATAAATCACAGTCATGATATTGTAACAGAGTACCATCTGATTCATGTTGTTGACTATTTGTATTCCTATCATCATCCTTGAAACAGAAAACAGATAAAGAAAAATCACTTTTATTATTTTCAAAATGAAACCAAAAAAGAATACATTTCGATTATTGTCTTCTTAATTAATAATCATGCAAAAAGCATTTACAGAGTGTTTCAAAAGTCCTATCGTGATAATTTTTTTGATTATTTCCACAATTTCATTTGAAAAGATCAACTTTTTCTTTTCGAGTGATAAACAAATACATCAAGTTTTTATCTATGAAAAACAAAAAATGCAAAAGTATTGTTCAACAGAATCACCTTGAGTTGAAATATATAAATTTAGACTTTTTTTCAATTCCTAAAACATTTTTCAACTTTTGTTTTTTTTAATTCTTTGAATTTTTGAGTTATTCTATTCTTTAAATCATTAAGATCTTTTATATTATGTTTGTATATGTTTGTTTGACATAATTTCAGAGGAAAAAGTTCAAAGGTGTTATATCAGACGGAAGCTAGGAGTCTATGAGATCGACCCTTCTCTTATTATCCAACCAAGAACGAACTATCTTCGACAATTGCGATTAAGATGCTACCTGCGTATAGGATACTGTTCTTTCTCAATAGTTGACCACTATAGAAAATAATTCTATCATTGCAGAATCTGAAGAGATAAACTAATCCAAGACGTATGTATTTCAAATAAATCGAATGACTCTTGATGAATAGTTAAGAATGAAAATTGTTCTTATGATGGCTAAATTGGATAATCAAAAATTGGTCATATAACATTTTCAATGGAAAAATTTGTTAGTTATTTCATGCAAAAACTCTATCAGATGTATTTTTGATAAATTTGTTGAAACTAGTTCAATACATAATCATAAACGTTCAGAACTACCATCAGCAGCAACAGATGAAAAATTCAATAGGAAAAAAAAACTAAACTATTGTATTTCAGTTCATAATGATACTTTTAAACAATAATTTTGAATATTTTTTTTATGAATAAAACCTTGGTGTATTTGTCAATCATTTCCAAAAAAAGTTGATATTGGCAAATGGAATAGTGGAGAGAACAGAAAAAACTTATCACGAAAGGACTTTTGGGATATCCTATATAACAAATGAGGATAGCCTTTCAAATAGTACCAAAATGAAAATATAAAGTTTCAATGAGTCGATCGATTTCGTCAAGAAGGAAAATGATGTTCATCGGAAAGAAACACTTCGAATCGATCTTCTTACTCACCAATTTAAATTTAACTTGTAATCGAAGTAGAATTTCACCTCGTGATGTATCATTATTTGAACTATTTTGATTCGGTCCATTTAAGAAAAACCATTGTTCACGATCAAATGCAACTAATGACTATAAATGAACAAAGAAAGTCTTTACTCAGGAAAAATTTAATATTAAAGTTTTTCATGATACACTCTTAGACTAGAAGAAGACTAAAGTGTTCCTTCTATCCTAATGGATTTAAAACATCTGTCTGAATAGCAAAAATTATACAGCTAGAATCCTATTAAAAGCATATTTTCCTTCATTCTCTCATGTAATGTTGATGACAATCCTCTGAATATATTGAAACCAAAATGAAAAACAAAACTAATAAAATTCGAATTACTTTAATATCCAGACTAACTTGACCAAAAAGGTTAGGTTCAGTTTCACTTGTCACTTTGAAACCTCGAATTCCAACAAATATGCTAAATAATAAAATAGAGATGAAATATATTTCAAACGAAAAACAAAATCTACCTTGAAACACCTGCTTTGAGCTCTGATAGTTGATCATAAATTGAATTGAATACCTTTATAAGTAAATGTTCTTCTTTTAGATCTTCTATTGGACTAAACAGATTAAAACGATACAAACACTATTTTAGAAAGGATCAATAATCAACAAAAAAAAAACAAATAACAATAAGATTAATCAACATTGTAGAAAGTTCTAAAACAATGTAAATAACATACAATTCAAAATGTTCATTCCATTCTGGATTGATAGTTTCTCGTTGAACTTGTGTAAGATAACTAATACTTTTCAATTTTTTACTATCATTAGATGATAATTTTGATGAAAGATCTGTTGAATCTGTTCCATTACTGCTTGTATGATCTATTTGCTTGAGATTCGTCATTATTGACTTCTGTTGATTAATTGTAGCTGAAAAACGAAACAAAAATATTAATATTGTTTTTGATGAAAAGCTTTTGTGACTCATGAAACAATTTGATTAGGTGATAACTCGCTCTTTCTATGAACCTTATTTCATTAGGTACGACTTATTGAGACTAGAAAACATGTAAAATAATGAGTATTTATAGTTGGGTGAAATTATGACTCTCAATGCTAAACATAGAAATTTATAGTATCTCGTTTTCATAGCAAGTCTAAACTGAGATATTCAACTCTTTTAACATATACACTTTTGCGTAGTAAGTAAATAAATATGAAAACTATTCAGATTCTATGCTACACAAATAGTCATCGAATTTTTGAAATAAAACTTTTCTAGTATGTATTCAAAAATGACGTATCAAATTAGATTCATCTTCTTCTAGAAGTTTACCTAATACTAAATTTGGAAAAGATATTATGATCAATGAAATAATGAGCAAAATTGAGAAAATCAAGGATGTTTTTGGTCTAAATTTTATGATGTTTAGTATTTTGATAATACGGCTTGTCCAAACGTAACGCTGTTACGTTTTTGACACACTCTTCTTCAACTATCTCGAAAAGTTTAAGAGCTAGGAAGTTCGTTCAAACGTCATTCGACGCAGCTTATCGAACTTTATTTATCGTATAAAAATGGCCTTTTTTTGACTGAAGTCTCAGGCATCTAGAAAGGTTTTAGCATGGCGTAACGCTGTTACATAAAAGGACCCTTTTTTTCCAGTGCCGCCAAGAAAACTCTAAATTCTTGCGAAACCATTTCTTCAAATGTAATGCTCCGAGAGTCATTTTTGTAGAGCATTGAATAGGCTTTCAGGCAGTAAAAAAGATTTTCTCTAAAACATTTTTGCTCAGATAAAAAATGCAAAACACAAACGTAACGCTGTTACGTTTTTCGTAACGCTGTTACACAGTTTTTTGTTGACCAATTTTGAGGCACTTAATGTACTCAGAATGACTTGATTTTTATAAGTGTTACTGTTTTCTATGTAGACAATCCCCTATGCAAAAATGAGATTGATACATTGATCTGAGAGCTCATAAACTGAGCAGGAAGTTCGGAATTATATCGAAGTCTCCAATTTGTTCTAAGCTGCCAAAGTCAAAATTAAATAGACCATTTTGTAGAGAATTTAATTCTGCATCGAATGGTATGTCTCTTGACCTTTGTTGAAAAAATTTCTTGGTTAAAAAATCCAAAATACAGTTTTTGAAAACTTTAAAATCCAGTTTTCGATCTCAAAATCTGATTTTTATACAAAATTAATACCAAATTCGTAATCAGCGTAAAAAACTGCATCTAGTACCCCACTGAGATCTGTCCAACTCGGAAAAAAATTTTTTCAAAACTTGATCAGCGAAGTGTCGCGTTACGCGGACAAGCCGAATAACAGTGAAAATTGAGTTCCCTAAAGTTATGATTGATAAAAAAGCAGTCTTTGTTTTTTTGTCATGTAATTGAGCATGCTCATCTTTAGTTATAGTTAATCTATTGTTTTCATAAAAAAGTGGCATTTTGGGATGAATAAAATTTCAGAAGAAATTAAATCTAAAATGAACTTAATATTAAGGATAATTTTCAACAAGATTCTAAAAAACAAATTATCCATATATATATGCTAACCAAAACTATGTATCTATTAAATACCAAATATTCAAGTCTAGATATTGCTATGAATCTGTAATATTTAAAATTTGTTAGCTTAACTATGACAGTGATAGCGTAATCGAAACATAGTCAATCTTCTTGGTAGACAAGATAAATTGTTCAATCGTAAGTTGCAATTCCTGATGATTTTATTCTCAACTTATTTTTCTTCTCCCTCATATAGAATTTTCTCCTTATTGTTTTCTGTATTATAATAGATAAGATTTTAACGTTTGCTCTTATCACTCTTGTTCTGATTTTTTTTCCTACTAGTCTCATCAATATGAATATAGTCATAATATCCATTTATAGAAAGAGAATGTAACTCAACAATAAATAAAAGTCTGATTTTGCCTTCGTATTCTTCGATATACAAGTTTAGATTGTTAAGATATTCACATTCTTTTACGAAGTTGAAACTTTCTACAAATGAAGATCTCTATGAGACTACTTGATGATGGATATTTTAGATCTCAAGTATGTTCTATTGTAAGATAAACATATGAAATTACTCTCATATTCAAATTTTACGAGAGGAAACAATAGAAAATGTAAAACGTTCATAATTTATTATTCATGCTCAGAAAGTTATTTGTATCAAGTTTGAACTGCAAATTCGAGAGTGAATTTTGAAGGTGACTTGAATAGAATCACAACATTTTGCTGTAAAACAAGATTAAATGACGATAACTCAAGAAAAAAACCCATATGTAGGAATCACTTTGATTTTTCCAGTCTCAATAGTTCTTTACTAATGATATAAGATTATTTTGAAAAGTGATTCATCGCCTAAGATCATTAAGTGGTCTTGAAGAAAATATAGATGATGTTAATGTTTACTCACTCGGATTATTTTGAATGCTGGAAATACGTATTACACTTAATTTACAATACGGATCAGTAGAACCTTTTCACAGAAGAAATGTTAAAAAAAATAATAAATTATTTCAAAATAAAAACAACTATTTTGATCTTCACCAGATAAATTATGAGCTCTTTTAACATCAACGGATAGTATAGCAGACCATGACTAAATATTACACAGAAAAAATTATTTGTTTTCAAATAATACAAACAAAACAAAAAGTAAACTTACATCTCTCTTAAGAGCTTGAATAAATTTTTGTTTATGTTCTTTTGGATCGACATTAAAAAGCTAATAAAAGATATAGGAGAATTTTTTTAGTTTCATTCAACCTTTTATTTTGAATATATACTTTAGCAACATGTGCAGCAAGTTCGTCTATTGTTGCCGTTTGTTCAACCACATATAATGGACAACAGAGAGCATGTAACGCGTATTCATAGAGAGATTTCTGAAATCATTAGTTGCATTAATATTTTGTTTTAACTTTTGTTTATTTCTTTCGTTTTCTTACTTCAACAGGATTGCCTGTCTTGTTCTCCATCTAAAACGATTACTTTTTTTGTTCAGAGAATAAAAAAATACAAATATAATATACTATCTAAAAATAAAAAAGACAGTAAAGTATAACAAACATCAATCAGTTATTGTTTTTTGAAAGTTGTATGGTTTCATCTCATTCAAATTAATGAATCTCTTTTTCTATTTCAAAAAAATTTTTCATTTGTAATAGTTCAACAATGTTTGATAATGATGATATAACATTTAGTTTTTGACGACATGCAGCTCGGTCTATTTGCTTATCTTATTTGCTTTTTAATAATCGATACAAAAAAGAAAAAAAAAACACACGAAAAGTCTATATAGAAAATAAATTATTCACCAAACCATTATGATTTCATATGAAATAAACCTTATTCTACTAAACATGTATTTTATTCATAAAAGAGATTCTTCTATTTGGTGTTTTTGAAAAAAAAAAAACATCAATACTAACTTCAGCTCTTTCTTCAACATTTTCATAACATAATGATAAATTAATTGTATCAAGTTCAAAAAACACTATGAAATTGTTCTTTGAGATCTCAAATCAAATTTAATAAAGTTTGCTACAGAAATAAATATTTAAATTTATTTTGGTATTTATGATAGTCAAGAAATAATTAGAAATGAATAATTTTGTGAGTCTCTGTAATTTTCAAATGGAAAAGAAGAAGTTAGATCTTGTTTTTCTTTTATATATGTAAAGATAAAGCATATTGACCTGATCTGATATATTCGTGTTTTTAAATTTTTGAAATTAATTGTAAATAGAAAAACTGAACTATTTTGCAATGATTTAATTATTCTGAAGAAAAAGAGAGTTTAGTTCTCAATGATTAACAACTTCTCCAAATTTTCTTCTGTTTCTTTGAAATATCGAAATTCTATTTTTGAAACTCGATATGAAAAATAAAATATAGAGGGAGTCATTTAAAATAATTTCCTTAAATTGAATTTTCCACACTGAGTCTCCAAAAGAAATTTTCGAAATTTGACTAGTTGTTGATTGTTGACAAATGATTTCATTTGTAGAAAAACTAAATGATTAGAAAAAAAATGAACAGTTTTCGAAGAGCTCACTTTAAAAAATTGAAAACTCATAAATACTGAATCATTCCATATAGTTATATCTCATCAAATAAAAATAAAAGTTTTAATCATACATACTTATCGTAAGCAAATACTTTTCTTTCACTATGTTCACTTTTTTGTTTAGTATTTAATCAAAGTAAACAATCATGACATTTTTTTGAGACTAATTGCTTGAAACACTTTACAAATGTTATGATACAGCTACTTTGATTATGTACATGTGCAAGAATATTCATTATGAAATATGTATAATTCATCAATAATAAGATCATTATGAAGCATAGGTTGTCTTCGATCAATTTATACGTCTTACTGATTCTAAAAAACAAAGAAAAGAAATATTTTTTTTTCTGATGCAAATATACCTTTTTTTCAGCATGTTGACTACAATCAGGTAATAATGATAAAAACTACATAGTCCTTGATAAAAAAAAAAACACTTTCAGGATGTTATGTTTTTTTGAACAGCTTACTAAATGAAATATCACTAGAATTATGATGAAACTCAGTAGTAGTTCTAATGTTGTGTCAAATATACGATAGAAATTACTAAATATTTTCCCATATACTCTTTAACGAAATAATATCTCCACATATTTCATTATTTTCAATGTTATTTTATACACACCTGTACATACCTTATCATATTTTTTTCTACCTGCTAAGTGTGGTATTGCTATTACCATGTGTAGACTATAATGATTAATTGATGTATTTTGACGTTCTAGTTGTTTTTATTTGAGTCTTACTTTATATATTGCCGGTTACGTCTAGATTGTCACTCTTTTTTTTTTTGCTAGACAGAAAAAAAAACAAATGATGAAAAGTAGAAAGAGTCTCTATATTTTACGTTCTGCATTGGGATGTCTTCGAACAACGATACGTCTATTGATTTTCGAAAATAATTCATGTTATTAAACTGAAATTAATTTTGCTATATTTTCTTCCCATAGGTTATGTAATATAGAAATGATGATTTGTCTTCAGTTTATCTTGAATTAAAACTTTTACCAATTTAAATTTAAAATATATTGTTCATGTGAAATTTTTAATGTAAATCCTTTCAATGAATAATGAAACAATCTATTTACGGAATGGCCGCGCGTTACGAAATTTCATTTTTTCATACTATAACACTTATATCTCATCAACGGTAAAAGCTAGTCCTCTGAAATTTTTATCATATATAGAGGCTATTTAGATCTATTATCAATAAAAATTTTATTGGTTTATATGCAGGCAAGGCTGAGCTATTAAAAAAATTCTGACCGTTACGGAATTTCAAAAAATGTAAATTTTTTTTAGGGTGACTGGAGAGTTAAGCATTTTACTGCGCAATCAAGTCACATACAACTAAACGCTCTGTATACAAATTGTTCAATTTTACACAAGCTTTCAGAATATCGGTTCATTTCTGAACAGAGTATAATTACATCAAACAAAAACCTGTAAACACTGTCCGTTACGGAATTTCGTGTTTTTTTTGATTTTCTAATGGGGAAAGTTTGACATCTCGAAATTTCCAATTATCACGATATAAACTCATGTTTTCCCCAATCAAAGAGCAGTACACAGACAGTTCTAATGTTCGAGTATGCCAGTTTCACTCACACAACGAAATAGCATTAAGAATTCTGTCTATTTTTCAGGAAAAAAAGCTTGTCAGCGCAACTCGAGAGGAGCTGAAATGTGGAACTCACGTATATCGTTTAAACTTGTTATCTTAATGCCTGTTTTTAAACTGAAAAATAGCTTTTTTTTCGAGTATTTATGAAAGCATTGATATATTATATAGAATCTTAAGTCTTATATGCGCGGTTGCTGAGGTCGGTAATGGTGACCTGTCCATAATGGTGGGGTGTCTGTAATGGGGGATATGTCTGTAATGTTCTCTTTCCCGTTGCTATGTGTCTGTAATGGGGTGGGGGGAGCCGCCAACCTCAAACTGAAAACTTACACTCACTATTTTCTTCGAAAACATACGTGAGTTCCATAAAATGAAATGTAGTAATACTCAATACTCAATTTTTTTGACAAGATTAGTTAAAGAATTTCTTTTTGGACAGTTGTCGGATAAAAATAAAGGTTTATATCGCTGGTCAACAAAGTATCTTGGAGCTTGCAACATGTTTTATAAACTGTCGGTGGTGCACTTTTGATTTCAGAGAGAATTTCTTTGTATTTTTGTGAGTTTAAACCTTTCTCCTGCGAGGGTGACCGATGCGTGGCCATGCCGTTTAGTGTTTCGTTATATTAATTGAAACAAAACGGAAGTTCAATTGTAGTGCATAAAATAAACGCTAGATTTTTGAGAATATTGAAAGAAAAAAAAAATTAGACATAATAAATCTGTGAAATCTAATCTGTTTATAATAACATAAAAAGAACAAAATTGTAAAGACAGCTAAATTTATTTTATAATAACACGTGATATTTCGGTGTCTATTACCAGATACCATCATCAGACAAAAAGACCATATATGATACACATACAGCAATCAAATGGACGTTTTCGTTTAAGTTAATTTTATTGTTCTTTTTATACATGATCAATGACTTAACTTATCTTTAAATGTGGTAATACATTTTTTATTTATATATATGATATTAGTTTCTATAGATCTAATATATATGTATGTATAGTTTTATGTTGGTGGTTTTTTCGTCTGATGATGGTATTTGGTAATAGATACCGAAATATCACGTGTTATTATAAAATAGATTTAGCTGTCTTTACAATTTTGTTCTTTTTATGTTATACAATTGTCCATCCATTTTATTCTTAATATGTTTATAATAAGACTTGAAAAATGAATATAAAAAAATATTCAATATCATTTTTTTCTACTTTCACCACTTGATGTTCTATTTAGAATTAAACCATATACAAACTGTTAACATGTTTTGTTCAAAGTCTCTTTTCGAACTTTCACCACCTGAATTTACCAATGTTTCAGTTCTGACAGATCTAGTCTTACTGACAATATCTATAATAAAAACCAATGCATATACAAAAAAAAATAACATTTATGATTAGAACTAACAACCTTTTAGCCCATGTTTTTAATTCTCGAAATGCACTTCATTTATAAAATTGAGTTTCAGTTATTCATTACAATTCATGTCTCAATCAAACTGAATTTGTATAACAAACAAAGTTGAATCAGGAATAGTCTTATTTCGCCGAAAGAAAACTTTCATTCTATAAACTTTGGTCGAAATAAAAATTTCGAAAAGAAAAAATGTCCAAAGAGAAATATATCAAAAGATACCATGTATCGATAAATTCGAAATTTACAAGAGAAAATTGTTGGAAAGTAGGTTTTTAGAGAAGAGATGTTATTAGAGGATACTTTTAATTGAATCATGCTTGGATTAACTTCTTTTTCGTTAGCTACGAAACTTGCCGTCCAATACAAACAAATAAATAAAACTATTCAATGAGAAGGGTGTGTGAGTGTAGGTTTGGCTGTGGTGTGTGGGAGTTCGAATGGTGTGTGTGGGTGGAGATGGAGTGTAGGCGCGATGATTGGATGGAGGTGAGGGTGAATGTCAGTGACAATGGAAAGAAGAGTACCATCTAACCACGCCCACATCCACCTCGAACTCTCACAAGTACCACACCCACACTCAAACTCACACCTATCGCGCACACATCCACTAAGCACAGCCACACTCCACACACCCACACCCGCCGACACCCACTCATCAACACACTCCCACGCCCACACCCCATAAACTTATTGTTGTTTGACTATCTAACAATAACAAATTTTGGAATCAGTAATGTGTTTGTTATTTTATTTATAACGTGAGAAGACAAAGACTCTAATTGCACTCCTTTGTTTTATCATACATAGGAATTAATTGATTACTAGAGGGTGTGGGTGAGGATGTGGTTTTGAGTGTGCCTCTTCTTTTGTATCACACCCACACCCATCGCTCTTTATGCTGAAATGACTGATAGGTGCCAAAATTTTGTTTTTCTAGTTGCTAGTCATATTATATCTCTTATCTTCTGAAAAATTTCCCATGAAGATCTGTTACTTTTCTTTCTTATCCAAAAAAGTCATCAAACATAAATTAGCTTAAAGAAAAATTTAAAAAAAAAGAAATCGTAAGACAAAAAATGAAGAATCTCTCTCTTCATATTCAACATTCCTCTTCTCAAGGGTTCATTCTTCTCCTATTTCAATTGAAATATGGAATAGAACGAGAGGAATTCTTTATTTTACATTAGTATTTCTTTGCCTTTTTCTTTATAACAATTCTGCTTTTATTTCATTTGTGTGTTGAATGATGTTCCTCGTTAGAAATAAAACGTTATGAGGGTTAATAAAAATGTAATAGAATAATTAATAGAGTAAGTAGCTTTTGTAATTTTTAGACTATTAAATCTTGCACTATCAAATGACCTATGTGAAGACTGAAGATCTTTTTATTCCTAGTCGGATTTAACTTGCTTATAGTTCTGTCTATCCGTCCCGTCCTATGTTATCTCTAGAAAAAAATAAAATAAAAGAATGAATGAAAATAATTTTCAAAATCAACAAATCTAACTATAACAGTCATATTCAATGTAGTTTAATTGATTTTTCTAGGTTTATTTCAGACTTCATTAAAAGTAAACGATTAATGAATCGGCATATTAATTATCAACTAGTAAAGACATAGACTACTAAGCTTACTAATGTCATAACAGAAAATATATTTCATATAAACATCTGATATGAAATAAATTGAATGTATATCAAAGTCTGTTTATCTTGCATAGGTAAGTACTAAAAGCAACACTATTAAAGCAGAGCATAGTTCTGTGTCCTGTTTTGCACAATCAATGACTCATATTCATCAACTATACACATTTATAATGGAGATAAGACAAGAACAAGTTTTATGATTTCGTTAAAAATTAAAATTTTATTTCGTCAATGTTTCTTCTATTTTCATATAGTTGGATTTATTAATATACGATCAATATGAGTTCTACACTATTCAAAAGAGAAGAAAAATTCTTATTAACTGATTAAAAAAACTAATCGTTTAAGAATCTATGTATCGAAAAGATATACAGGAGTCAATAGTTTACGCTGCATTTTTGAAGAAAACTAGGCATCTGTTTAAACAGTACTGTTCTTTTCATTTCTGTCATTTCTTCAGTGAACAATGTAAAATGATTTATTTAAGATTTAAAAGAGAAGAAAAGTTCTATATTTTTCTGGAAAAAGAAGTTTTCTTTTAATACTTTTCTATTGAAGAAAAAGGGTGTGGGTGTGGGTGTGAATTGTCTCTTTTGATACCTACACCCACACCCACTCCTTTACGACTTGAGTATTAGTACCGAGGAGAATAAATTCTGGGATTTTATCAATTCTAATTCCATTTCTCGTCAATTCTATCAACGACATGGGAATCGTCTTCGATTTGAATTGAAATGACCCTAATAATATCTGTTTCTTAGAAGAGTAGGTTGACACTTTTCGAATTCCAGCACATTCAGAGGAAAAAATATGTTGGATTAAACAAAAAACAGCTGTACATATTCATCAATCAGTTTTAATAAGAAAGGGTCGATATAGGATGTTCTTGTATCTATAGAATCTTTCTTTAATTCCCCTGAGCTAGGTGACTTATCGAATAAACTACTAAAACTTGAAGTATTCCTACAGACCGTAACTATATGATAAATATATCAAAGATGTCTTCAAGGCACATTTTCCCAACTTATTGTGAGGCAGTAAAAAAATTTGAGATTAAAGATTTAATATCCATCCGTACTCGCATCATTGATCAGAGCAGGATATGTGCTCTATAAGTCGTAGATAATATAAAGTGACTTCTTTTGCATGCATGTTCCGATACTATTATTTGTTTAAGCACCTTACAAAGTAAACTAATGATTGAAATTCTTAAGAATCCAATGAAAAATTTGTACCCTTTTCAATCGAATTTTTCTGCAACAAAACCAAAATGAAAATAGATTGATAATTTTGATTATTTTTGATTATGAATTAACGACTAATTTACATTGTTACTTATCCAATGTGAAATTCCTTATTTAAAATCTAATTTTTCTGAAGCAAAATCAAAACTTTTAATCTATTTATAATCTTGATTTTGCTACAAAATAGTGAATTTCAATCAGAAAATTTTTTAACAAATACGTAACAACATCAGGTAATGCTTAGGTGACAAGCTACGGTAATCAAAATTATCAATCAATTTTAGTTTTGATTTTGTTGTAGAGTAATCCGATCGAAAATCGAGAAAATGTTTCACTGAATAATAATAATAATAATACACATGGCGACTATAGGAAAAACACTGAGGAATGAGGCTGTTATTGATAGTTTTTGGGTGTGGGATGTAGTTAGAGAGAAGACTCACACCAATGTCTTTCTCTTTCTTTTAGTTCGAATCATAGTATTTTTCTGAAGGCCTGCGCAACTTGTTATCATATATCAACAAAAGAGGTCCATTACATGTCTGACATTGACAGAAAGCCTTGAGAAAATGAATAGCAGTTACTCTCTGTATTCATGATAATTCTAATCTCTATGTCACAAAAAAGCTTATCTTTCTCTGCGACGCACTATCATTGAAGGATTATTTGTTGTGTTTAAGATGAATAAAAAAGCAATACATACAACTGAGAGTTATGTAGTCAACTGGCTTGATGAGAATATTGATGAAAACAATGAAGATTATCAAAATAACATTGCCGAATTACGTGGCATTGTCAATGAAGTCAAATATTTCAGAACTGGTGAAGAATGCATTCAATATCTCAATGAATGTAATCAACAGAGAATATTTGTCATCTCATCTGAAGTACTTGGACAGCATATCGTGCAAGTAATACACGATATATCCAACGTGAATACTATTTTCATTTTGTACAACAACAGAACACTTGATAATGGATGGATGAAAAACTGGAGAAAAATTAAAGGTGCATGTACATCAATAGAACAAATTAACCAAGAACTGAGACACTTAATCAAGATAAATAACAAAAATAGTATGTCTATAAGCATCATGAATTCTTATGAAGAAAATGGAAAAAAATAACTTTCATCAACTGGAATCTGATTTCATGCATTTCCAAATATATAAGGACATATTTCTTGAAATGAAGTCTGATCAACAAGTTATCAAAGATTTTGTTGTTTTTTGCAAGGAAGAATATAATGGTAACACCAAAGAGATAGAAATTATCGACGAATTCGATAGCCATTATGAATCATCAAACGCCATCTGGTGGTATACACGTGAATGTTTCATCTATAAAATGTTTAATAGTGCTCTACGTACATTTAATGGCGATATCATTATAAGATTAAGATTTTTTCTTTCGGATCTGCAAAAACAAATTGAAACATTGTACAAGACTCAGACCAGTCTTTATCAAGGAAAGACATTTCTTGTTTATCGAGGACAGAGCTTACTCACTACTGTCTTCGATCAATTAATAAAAAGCAATGTTGGAATCATGTGTTTCAATCATTTCTTATCTACGAGTACCAAGAGAGATATTTCTCTTCGCTTCGCTGAAGAAGCCTTAGAATCCGTCGATGCTGTTGGAGTTCTTTTTGAAATTATTGTAGATTGCAATGTACCATCAGCTCCCTTTGCTTCTATTCAGAAGTTTGGTTATATGGATACAGAAGTGGAAATTCTCTTTTCCATGAATTCGTTTTTTCGAATCAATACGATACAAAAGTTGGATAAAGAACGCTCCCTTTACCAAGTTCAACTTAGGACAATACCCGATAATGACGAAAAATTATGCCGGTTACAAGATTCCATAAGAAAACAATCATCAGCTCGAACAGGTTGGAAACGTTTGGGTGAATTACTGTTTGCTATAGGTCAACTTGACAAAGCTGAAACATTCTATTCTAGAAAGCTAGAACAAGCAACTAGCGAAAGCGCCATCTCGCATGTCTATCATCAACTTGGTTGGATAATGCGAAAGCGAGGAAAATACACGGAGGCATTAATCTTTTCTTCAAAAATCTCTCGATATGAAACGAAAAATAGTCGTAGAAGATCACTCTTCGCTGATCTACATTTATGGTGATCTGGCTGCGATGTTCAAAGATATGGGTGACTACTCCAAAGCTCTTGAAATTTACGAAAAAGTAGAGCAAATCCTTGAAAAGAATTCATCTTCAATGCAACGTACGTTGGCTACTTGTTTTAATAATATGGGTGTGGTACGTAAACATATGGGCGATTATTGGAGAGCACTTGATTTTTACGAAAAGGCTCTCTCAACAAGAAAAAAAATCGTGCCTTCTAAACATCGATCAATTACGTCTCTCGAAACTCCCTCGATTAAGCCTTACAAACATCTTTCAAGAGCAACTACCTATGGCAACATTGCTAAATTGCACACCTGTATGGGCAACTATTCAGAAGCACTTGTACTGAGCTCAAAGGCACTGAAACTGAAGCAAAATACACTATATTCAAATCATCCATTATTACCGAATTCTTTGGATAGTATTGGTACTGCTTATAGAGCTATGGGTGACTACTCTAAGGCGTTCGAATTTCATGAACAAACTCTTAAAATAAGAGAAGCAACCTTACCTTCAAATCATCCGTTACTAGCTATTTCGTACAGTAACATTGGGGAAGTATATACTAACATGGGCAACTATTCGCAAGCCCTTGAATTTCATGATAAAGCACTTCAACTAAGAGAAAGTACTCTGCCTCTCGATCATTCTTCATTAGCTAACCCCTATAACAACATCGGAACACTGCATAAAGACATGGGTAACTATGCTGTCGCTTTTGAATTTTATCAAAAAGCATTGAAGTTGCGAAAAACAGCTCGTCCCCTGAATCATTCCAATTTGGCTGTTTCCTACTACAATATCGGTAAAATTTATCAGTACATGGGTGACTCCTCCAATGCTCTTCAATGTTACAAAGAGTCGAGTAAAAGTTTTGCAAAAGTTTTAAGTCAAAATCATTCATCATCGGCTACTCATTACGATATTATGGGTTCGGTGTATAAAAATTTGCGTGAGTACCCGAAAGCACTAGAATATTATAAAAAAGCATTTGACATACGATCAAAAACTCTGGCTTCAAATCATCCATCATTGCTTAATTCATACAACAATGCCAGTCAAGTATATTCTAGAGTGCATAAACACTCGAAAGCAGATGAATTTCTTGGACAACCACCAAAAATTAACACAAATAGCCTGTCTATGAGTCATTCATCATTGACTATTTCTTACAACAACTTAGGTGTAGTGAATGCAAACATGGGTTATCGCTTCAAAGCACTGGAATTGCACAAAAAAGCACTTCGTATGAAGGAGAAAAACCTTCCTTCAAATCATCCAGATTTGGCTATCTCCTATAACAATATCGCTACAGTCTATAAACAAATGGGTAATTACTCAGCAGCACTTAAATGCTACGAGGAAGCACTCAAGATAGGACAAAATCTTTTACCATCAAATCATCCTTTATTGGCTACTTCCTATAGCAAAATCGGTGCAGTCTATAATACTTTGGGTGACTATTCAAAAGCACTCGAATTTTATAAAAAGGGATTTGAACTGAGAAATAATGTTCTGCAACCGAATCATCCCTCATCAGCTAATTCCTACAACAGCATCGGTACAGTTTATAAAAATATGGGCGACTACTCAATAGCACTTTCATTTTTTGAAAAAGCACTAGTCATTCAAAAGGAAACCCTTCTACCGTCACATCCTTATAATCAACAACTAGCGGACAAAATTGACTATGTTAAAAGCCATATTTGAATTTCTTAAAACTTACTCTTATTCAATATGCTCATGTTCATCGTCATCTACTCATTGGATATGGACGCAGGTGTGCATGGGTTTGGGTGTGAAGTGGGTGTGAGTGTGGGTATGAGTGGATGTGGGTGTGAATGGGTGCGGGTGTACATTTTCCTCACACCCGCACGCATACTCACACCCATACCCACACGCTATTCTGATAAGCCTTTCTTCAGATTACATTTCCATAATAGAACTATAAATCGTGCGGTAGTGAAGTTTTCAAGTGGTTACGATATTTAGTGCGTGACAAGGATTTCGTCAGTCTTGAAATGAATTTTTTTATATTCAATTATTTTAACGGATGAGAATAGAATGTAACACATCTATGTACAGAGGAGTTCGAGATACTTACACAGCACGTAGTAGTTTTATAGTTGTTTGCTTCTTCTTTGAGCAGCGCAGAAGTGTGTGAATACATCCAGAGATGAGATGAATCGTGTGAAGTGAATTCGACTTTATAACTTTTGATCGTTCAGAAGGAAGAGTTATGGCTATAGTTCATCAATGGGCAATACCGAGAAAAGTGAGCGCGAAATTTCGAATTGTAATTCATTCAATAGAAATCCGTCAGCTTCAAATTTCATCTCATTTCATACTACCCATCTCATCTCTCAACGAGTCAGCAAAAAATGGATGTATTCACATATTTTTGCGTTGCTCAAAGAAGAAGCAAACAACTATAAAACCACTGCGTGCTGCGTATATGTCTCGAACTTCTTTGTATATAGATGTGTTATATTCTATTCTTATACGTCAAAATAATATAAAAGATACGTTTCAATACGGGCGAAACTTCTGTCACGCACTAATTTATATTCGAAGGTTGACCACTCTCTCTGGGTCGATTGATCTTGGGTTGATGTTTGCAATTAGTGTTTTTAAACTCTATTTATGACGAAAGTTTTCACTTAAAATCAATATCTATTCTGTCATTGATTCATAGATTCGATGTGATAGGTGCTTGCGCAAGCAGTATATAGAACAATTGATGATAAAGAAAAAAGTTCATTTATCTGCATCAGGCGAACTCGATAGTGACTCCAACATATTTGGGCAGTATGGTAAACCTTTCCAAATGTCCACCCATATTGACTTCAGGACCACCATCACCAAATGTCACCTGCTGCATAAGTCTAGCCGCGATCACCTTGAGCTCAAATCGAGCCAAATCTTGTCCAATACATTGTCGATGACCACCACCGAATGGAATCAACGCATAGGGATGATGGTTTTTATCCTCACCCATAAATCTTTCTGGATAGAACAGTTTCGGATCAATTGACCATAACCGAGTGTCTCGCGCGAGAGTATGAAATGGAATCTCCACTTGATTCCCTTTGAACAGTTGAGTACCACTGTTGGGTAGACGATCGTCAATCGTCAATGTACGAAGTGTTCCAGGAAAGGGCGGAGAAAAACGAAGTACTTCATTGATAACACAATCCAAATAGACGAGTGAGTCAAGACGATCCAGTGACAAATCTTGCCTATTACTATCACCCATCAGTTCTGCCTTGATCTTCTGCTGTACTCGCGGATGTTTACTCATGAGATAAATGAACCAAGTCAGAACTGTTGATGTTGTTTCATAGCCTGCAATTAGAAACGCAAGCATTTCGTTCAATACTTCGCTTCGTGAGAGGCCTGTTAACAAACAAAAACAAAACCACGCAGTTTCATACACAAACAATAAGAATGAACATAATTATCATATTTTGTTGAAACAAACGTATTAAATTTCATGAATTTTAAACTAAAGTGACGAAGTTGTGTCCGAGTCAATACACACTCAAGGCATAATTTTCAAGAACAAATCTAACCTTTTTTTTCTTCTTCACTTTTCGTAGCTTCTGCTTTCTCGTCTTTTTGTAACGAAGCAACGAGAGAAGCAATCAAACATGTTCTTTTTCGTTGTGCTATTGATTCTGGATTTTCGGTCAATTCATGATCTATCATTCGATAGAGGTATCGTTCAATAGTTGTTCGCGCTCGTCGATGTAGACGGCTCAATTTCAAATAGATACGGTATAGACTACTTGGCATGTAGAAAGCCATTTCAAGTGCACTCAAAAAATCTCGTAATGCTCGGGTGAGCTCATTATTTCCTGCGTCACCGTAGCCATCGAGCGTCTCCAAATCGTAGTTAAATGCAATTAATCCAAAGATCGCGAGTAGAAGATTTTGGCATTGCTGGACAATGTCTAGATGGACGTGTTGAGTGGGACTAACGCGCCAATTAGTCAATAGTTTGTCCGTGCAATCAACAATTAAGTCAAAATTGGAGATGATCTTGCCACGACGAAACAATGGTAGAATCAACGCGGCGTGTCGTTTGTATCTTGCACCTAAATATAACTATAGATGAGTTTTCAATCAGAAGAGTGAAATTAACCTTTGAGACTAATGAGTCCTCCTGGGAGGAGGACACCGAATTGTGAAACAGTAATATCGCCTTGATCGTAAATATGTCGATGAGTCAAAATGAGCTGTACATCATCGATGTGACCCACGACAATAAGACGCCAAGGACCGAGCCAAACTTGAAAAATATCACCAAAGCGATCTTTAAACGATAAGAAGACTTGAGCAAGAGATTTGCCATCGAACAATATACCCGTCTGAATCAAATTTCCAAATAGAAAATGAGGCGCTAAGCCAGGTAGAGAGTTGTAAAGAGTAAAATATTTCAGCTTAAAATATAATACCAGTAAGGCGACGATAACAAGAATCAATACGAGAAGCATTTTATGCGCATGATAGAGGCAAACTGCTGTCGTATCAAGACTGCTGATATAATGTCAAAAAACTTACATACGCACACATGCTACCTTTTTTTCTGTTCTCTTTCTTCTATTCGTGCATCACATATACACCAATGATAACAACACGAAGTCTAAGGTATATGCGCATGATAGTAATAGACATAATGAGATGCAAGGGTGTGGGTGTGGCTCGCCTTTTCATCAACACGCACATCTCACACCCACACCCCACACTCATTTCAGTCCCTTAGGGATTATGTTAACAATTTTTGAATGTTGTCTATAGGCAATTTTTGAAATAGTAATCTTAGGTTGCTTTGCAATTAGAAGCAAACATCAGCATGATGAATTTGAAAATTACTTTGCTAAAATCAAGAGTCTCAGAAAATCCTTTATAAATCTTGAATTGAACATAGTAGAAAGTTGAAGCTTGTGTAGTTCGAAGGAAAAAAAATTTTCGTATCGATTAATCACGTGTCAAGTCAAAATTCAATGAGAAAAATTTTAGAATATCTTTTGGAAAATCTATACGAAGAGTTCACTTGATTGATAAGTCATCTGGTAAATTGAGACTTTAGAATATCAAACTTGTATTATCAAGACTCTGAAATTATCAACGAGTCAACTAGAAAATCTTGATACAACTCGTCAAAATCTGGGCCAATAGCCTCTAATCAATTGAAAATCCATGATCAATTCCTTGGTGAAGATCATCAAATCTTAGTCGATTGTAAAGTGTCTTTATATGAACATCAACATAAACTTCCGAATCAGGACAACGGATTTCATTCCTCTTGAAACATAAACGAAACACGTTTTTTCTGACATTCTTCACTTAGTTGTAGATTTCAGTTCAAGCAATTCTGATATGTATTCAATGTGCCTCTGATAAAACACATTTTAGTAAGATTCTTCTAATGATTATCTGATATTCGTTTCGATGGAAGAAACTGTTTGTTATATAAGATTCAACAAATATAGATAGAAGACAGTTGTGCTACCTCATAATTTTTCAATATGTCGTTTCATTCACATAGCGAACATTCGATGGCCAATGTTGGCATATCATATTTAAAGCCTTTGTCAAATAAAACCTAAAGAATAAGAAATAGTGCTTGAATTGGAAGCCGTTTCATATCCTAACCTCTTTCTTTGGTGTTTCTTCTTGACATTCTGGGCATACGATTTTTTCTCTTGAAAATATGAAGGCTAATTTAAGTTTAATAGAATCTCGACTGATATTTTTATCCTTCTATGGACTCAACACACGATTTACATTGACGATGCCCATATAGGAGTTGAACAGGATCTCGTAATATGAGGTCGTATATTCAACAGAGGAACGCTAAGCCGATAAAATCTTTATTTTTTGAGTCGAAACCAACCATGCGTTCACAATGCTATAACATAAATGTAGAGAAATACAAATATAAAAGTAAACAAACTCTAGAATATTGGATATTTGACGTTGGTCTATTCTCATGTATTTCGAAAGCCGTTGAGGTTGAACCTAAAAAAATTATAATATTGATTAAGCAAAGTGTGGGTGTGGGTGTCGGTCTTGAGGTGGATGTGGTTGTGGGTGG